GACTCGCAGGCTCCGGCCCAGCCAGCGGCCCCCCAGCACCCCCAGGGCCTTCTCTGCTGGGCAGTTTCCAGCCCCTCTCCCCCAGCCTGGAGCCCTGCAGGGGGCTGTGTGCCCCAGGTGTAGGACCCAGCCCTTGGCCCTGCTGAGCCCCCTGCAGTGATGGTTTGCCTCAGGGCATGAGTGCAATCTTCTCAGCCAGACTCCTTGCTTTACCTGACACTGGGGCACCCTCAGTGAGTCTGCAGGTCACACTGAACTGAGGGGTGTTGGTCTGCTGGGGGTCAGGGGCTCTGCAGGGGGTCTGGGCAGGCTGGAGCTGTGGGCTGAGCTCAGTTATGTGAGGTTTAACAAGGCCAAGTGTTGGTCTCTTCTCCCAGGTAACCAGAGATGGGAGAAGAGGAAATGGGCTTAAGGTGCACCAGGGGAGGATTAGGTTGGATCTGAGGAAGAATTTCTCTCCTGGTGAGACATTGGCCCAGGCTGCCCAGGGAGGTGCTGGAGTCCCCAGCCCTGGAGGGGTTCAAGAAACGTGTGGCTGTGGTGCCTGGGGACATGGTTCAGTGCTCAGGGACAGTTGGGTTTCTCTTAGGTGTACAGTGAACTTTGGTTTCCTTCTTTTTTTTCCCTTTTCTTAAGAGCAGCTACCTGGTTTGGAAAAGGCTGATCATGAAGGAAGTTTTCTGATGTGCTTGAAATCTCAAATCCTCTTTATCTCACTTGGCTTCTCCTTGTCTGTCCCCAGCAGACTTCTCTTTACTGACAGGATTTGAAGAGTTGTTTGCTGTGGTACCAGATTTTCCTTACTGCCAAGAGTTGCCTCTGAGCCAGGCAGGAGCTGGTGTCTGCAGCAGGAACGTGTCAGTTTAGGCTGTCAGCTCCCAGGGCTGATGTGCTCCCCTCTGTGCTTGGAGGCTGTGTTTCCACAGGGCAGCAGGGGGAAGATCACCCGGGTGGTGGTTTTGTTCCTCAGCAGTGAAGGACTGTGCTGCTTGAAGTGTGGTGGAGTACCTTGGTTTGGAGGAATCACTTTTAAAAGTTCCTCCCTGTGGTGGTTGCTTTGCTTTAAGGAGGGCCAGGGAGGAAGGGAATGAAGGTCCTTGTGGTCCTCCTCCATTGTGAGAAGACCCCACCACCTACCTCTCTATAATCTTTTTCAGGGACTTGCAGAGAGTGACAGGGTCTCCCCTCAGCCTCCTCCTCTTCAGACTGAACACCCCCAGCTCCCTCAGCTGCTCCTCACCACACTTGTTCTCTGGACCCTTCACCAGCTTGGTTGCCCTTCTCTGGACCTGCTCCATCCCCTCAAGGTCTTTCATGTATTGAGGTGCCCAAACCTGACCCCAGTGCTCAAGCTGTGGCCTCCCCAATGCCCAGCCCAGGGGCACAATCCCTGCTCCTGCTGGGCACACCAGTGCTGACCCAGGCCAGGGTGCTGGTACACCTGGGCACACACTGGCTCCTGGTCAGCTGCTCATTGATCAGCACCCCCAGGCCCCTCTGTGCCAGGCAGCTTTCCAGCCACTGCCCCCAGGACCCTGCGGGACACCCGGGCACAGGGGTGGGTGCCAGCCCTGCCCGTCCCCACGGGGCCCTGCTGCCCTCCCCTCTCCTGGCCCTGGCCTCCCCACGGGCCCTGCTGCCAGCCCGGTGCTGTGGGGAGCCCATTATGTAATTGTGTGAATAATTTATGTATAGGCAGTGCTGAAACCTGCCAGATTCCTGGTGCTCCTGGCACTGTGCAGCTGCCTCCCAGGGTGGCTGCTCTGAGGAGTCCGCGCGTTTCCAGCCAGCAGAGATCCTTCTTACACACTCTGCTGGTAAGAGCCACAAATTTAGCTACAAGTTCAAACCTCTACTCAGGCAAGGCTCTTCCTGGAGTTAGGAGCAGTCTTCACCAAGAGCTTGGTTGTGTTGAAGCTTGATCCTTTTTTATTTTTAGCTCTTTTCTTGCCCCGAGCTCTGCAGCGTCCATTTGCTGTGTGCAAGTTAGGAGCAGTCTTCACCAAGAGTTTGGTTGTGTTGAAGCTTGATCCTTCTTTATTTTTAGCTCTTTTCTTCCCCCAAGCTCTGCAGCGTCCATTTGCTGTGTGCTTTAGCAGAGCCTACAGCTGTGAGGCTCCTGAGGACAGAGCTTTGCTACGTGGCTCAGAAAGGGAGGGTGCAAGTAAAGATACATCAAGAGCACTTGAATAAAACATGGTTTGTTCCAAAAATTCTCTTAAGAGGCAAGATACAGAATGCAGAACAGGGAGGGTGGGAGAAGAGCACCTGATAGAAAGCACTCTGCCACAGCTGTAGCAGAACCCAGTTTTTTAATCCTATTGAGACGTGCCATTGACCCTTCCAAGTGTCAGTTAATTCTCTTTCTCCATGACTTGCTGGTGGAGGCTTGCAGGGGTCCTTCTGAACACTTTGTGATGTTACCTGTGAAGAGCTCTGCCTTGGTTGTCAGGAGGAAGGTGGATCCTGAGACGTCTCCCAGTATCTGTCAGTTTTGTTGCCAGTCTGTGCTAATGCATGACAATTAATGTGATTTCATTAATATGCATCAAATCAAGTCTGCTCCTTTCTGTGGAGTAGCAGTTGTGAGGTCTGAGACTTCTCTGTTTTGTGACAGAGCTGTGAAAAAGCCTTTTTTTAAAAAAAGACCTAAGCTATGCAATCTTTCTTGTTTCTTTTCAACTGAGCAAGGTAATCTGGATTTGAAACACACGTTGTCATCCTGTGAGGCCTTGCTCAAAGGGCCTCTGGGCCTCTCCCAGTGTGTGTTTTACAGCCAGTCCACGGCAGGGTTTGGGTGTTCAGGGGGTTTGGTATTTTCAGCAGGCACTTCTAGTTACACCTTTTTCTGCCACCCAGGATAAACCTGAACCTTTCACCTAACCTGAGCCTCACGAGAGGCTGGGTCCATCCTGCTCAGCAGGGTGTGAAACTTCACCCAGCAGTGACCACTTGCCTGACTTGAAACCTGTTGTTGGTGTGAGGAGCCTTTGCTGTAGAGCAGCATCCCTGCTGCCATCCCCAGCCCTGCAGAGGTGCTGGGTGCTCTTGAATAGAATCACAGAATCATTAAGGTTGGAAAAGACCTCTAAGGTCATCAAGTGCAGCTGCCAGCCCAACACTCCTATGATCACTAAACCCTGTCCCCAAGTGCCACATCCACATGTTTGTTGAACCCCTCCAGGGCTGGGGACTCCAGCACCTCCCTGGGCAGCCTGGGCCAATGTCTCACCACTCTGCCAGGAGAGAAATTCTTCCTAATATCCAATCAGAACCTCCCCTGGCACACCTATCAGTGGTTCCTTGGGAGAAGAGACCAACCCCCACCTGAGACCAACCTCCACCTCACTCCTTTCAGGGAGCTGTAGAAAACCAGAAGTTCTCCCCTCAGCCTCCTCTTCTCCAGACTGAACCCCCCCAGGTCCCTCAGCTGCTCCTCACCAGCATTCCTCCTTGGCCACCTGGGCACACGCTGGCTCCTGCTCAGCCAGCTGCCCCCCAGCACCCCCAGGGCCTTCTCTGCTGGGCAGTTCCCAGCCCCTCTTCCCCAGCCTGGAGCACTGCCTGGGGCTGTTGTGCCCCAGGTGCAGGACCACGCCCTTGGCCCTGCTGAGCCCCCTGCAGTTATCTCAGCCTGTGGTTCCAACCTGTCCAGATTCCTCTACAGAGTGTCCTGACACTGAGTGTCATCTGCAGACTTATGGAGTTTGCCCTTGATCCCTTCATCCAGATCACTGATACACATGACTGGCCCCAAAACTGAGCCCTGGGGCACACAGCTGAGCCCTGGGGCACGTGGCCTTGGCTGCTCCCCTCAGGCATGGCCTCAGCCAGGTCTCCCCTCTCACAGGGAGCAGGTCCCTGATGTCCTGCCATGGATGATGACAGCCAGGATGAGCTGATCAACAGGAACGCTGCCCTGGGCAAGGGCAAGAGGCCGAGTCTCGTGCTGCTCAGTGACACAGGTGAGTGCAGCCCTGCTGTGTGGGCACATTTCTGGCTCGGGGTTGGAGAACCTGTTGGTTTACTCTCCAAAGAGAAGTAAAGATGTCTTTGTGACCATTTTTCCCCAAGAATTTTTTCTTGGTTTGGTTCCTGAATTCTGTCTCTCAAATTGCTGGCGTGCTTCCCGTGAGTTACTCAGAACAGGCAGCTTGAGATGGGAGGTGTCGTTTCATAGAAACATCCTGAGCAGGAGCTGTGTGTGTCCTGCACTGTTCTGCCTGTCTGCCTGCACCAAACAGGCATCTCCTCTCTTTTCCTCTTTTCTTTTTAAGAAAGCAATGGTGGAAACAGCTGTGATTCAGAAGATGATACTGGAAGTGAGGAGGAAGAAGACAACACTGAGGAGGAGGGAGGTGAGGAGGACAAGGAAGAAAGTGAAGATGAAGAATTAGAAGGTAGGTCTGTTAATACACATTAAGAGGCATTTTCCTAGTACCTGGAGGAAGAGTGGGGTGAAAGCTTTTCCTCCAGAAGTTAACCATGACATGTAAATCCACAAATGCTGCTGTGTCGGGCCGATGCCCCAGTCCTACAGTAATAAACAAGTCACGTTCCCCAATTTCTAAGTTTTTGAGGCTTTTGTAGGTTTGAAGACAATCCATGAGCCAAGTGGTGTGGGTACAGTCAGTAGGAGTCAACCCTGTCCCAGTGTGAGCACAAAAAGAGTCAGAATTGCAGCAATGACTCATGCTGGGTTTCTCACTTAGAAAAAGCATATTTGTTTGTTTGTTTGCTTTGGCACGAGCCTGAAGTAAATGTTGTGATGGAGAGATTTTGGAAATAAACTACTTTTGGAGTTAAACCTAGGGAGGAGGGAAGACTTCACCAATATTTCTTTGAGAAAGGAGTGTGGATGTTACTTGGATTTGTTAATTTTACTGAAAAGGTACTCTGTAGATGCATCTAATTCTGAAACTGCTGCACTCAAATTGTTATTTAGATAGACAGAAATAGAGTTTTTATCACATCTTAAAGCTTGTTGGGATGGCAGGAGTGCTGTGTCCCAAGCTACTGGTCAAACCCTCCTAAACAAGAGTGATTTTTAACTAACTTTTCACTGCTTCTTGAAAACCTCAACTTAATTCACAAGTTTTAGGGAAGGGCTAACACATGTCCCTGTGTTTTGTACTAAAAATAAAAACACCTTTTAACAATGTGTGCAGAGTGTTTAAAATTCATGTTACTCAAGCCCAAGCTTCTTTAAGTAGTCCCCACCCAGATCCCCTGGCTCTTAAAATCAAGATTTCCTGGTGAGATCTTTAGTCTGCTTTTCTGCAGGTGAGCATATTCCTGCTTCTTGTCCTCTGGGGTGTCTGTTTATAAAAAAAAAACCCAAACCCCTCAACAACAACATAAATAGTTGGACACATGATAACTTCATTATAACTTCATTTATGAACGTCACTGTTCAGTGGTAGCTGGCGTGTCCTACTCTCTTCTTGTTTTGATAATCTGTTGTTTTTCTGCTGTCTGTCCTTTTAATCTCTTGCAAGACTAGTCACATTATCAGGCTTTAATTTTCGACAGAGTAATCCACTGCTTTTTAGTGAAGGGATTTAGGAAAAAAGAAAACAGGGAAAGTTATTGCCTCAAACCGGGGAGGCTTCGCCCTTGCAGCCCCACAGAATGGGCTTACCTGGAATTGTCTGTGAACCAGTGCCCCATCCTGCCCACCCCCCTGCTCCCGCAGCACACCAGGGCTGGTTTCCATCTCTCCCTTTTTCAGACTGTGAAGACGATGAGGAAGAAGAGGAAGAGGAGGAAGAAACAGAGGTAGCTGTGGGGGGAGCGACCGACTCGCTGCAGTTAGAGCCAGGCGCGAAGGCAGCGAGCGTTTCCTCTGATGAGGATGGAGAAAACTGCCCCATTTGCCTCAACACCTTCAGGGATCAGGCTGTTGGCACTCCTGAGAACTGTTCCCATTACTTCTGCTTGGACTGCATCGTGGAGTGGTCGAAGGTGAGCTGTTGTGCTCTGCTCTCTCCCCTCTGCTCCTGCTCTTCTGCTGCAGTGAGAACGAAACGCTGCAATATTTGTATTTGCTTTCTTCAGCTTTTCTACACAGCCCTGGGTTACTGCTCTGCCTGGCAGCATTCATGTTTGTGAAGTGTGCATCTTTTTCTTCTACTCATCCTGAGCTGTTCTGTTCTCTGAAAGCAGTAATGCTGTAAGCAAATGTGGTTCTAGGCACCTAAAATACTTCCTTTCAAGTGGAATCCCCAGTGATACTGAGCTTCTCTGTTTCTATGTATTTCTCTGTACACACATCTGTATCTCTTGCTGCATTCTGGGTTATGCCCATTGGATATGGTTCTTTTCCAACAGCCAACTTTGAAACCCAGAAGAGGTATAAAAGAATAGTGACTAAATCAGCAGTTTGCTCTGAACTCAGTTGACAGAGTTCCTTGCCATCTGCATGTGTAGTTCCCATGATCATAATCCAGGGTGAGAATTACAACAGAAGTTACTGTGCATGATTATTTAAAACCAAACCAAAACAACACTTACCAAGTGTCTTTGTAAGTCATTTCCAGTTGACTATTTATCCAAAAGAAAGAAAATGCCCTAAACCATGAGGACTCTTTCAAGGCAATATTTGGAAGAACTTCGGTGTTTCTTTGGCAATTGAGTAAGGAGTAAAAGACTTCAATATAATAAATGCTTTTCTAAAAATGTGTTTTCTCTGATACAATAGGTTGTGTGTAAACGAGATAAATCTGATTTAAGTATTTAAAACATCAAGTCCAATAGCTGTTAAAATTAGATTAACTGAACGCGTATTACATTAATCATTGAAGATTTCCCTTTCAAAAATTGGGTCAAGAGATGTGCTTATTAACTGTGGGGGGAATTCTTTTTTTGATTCCTAGAATGCAAACTCCTGTCCCGTGGATCGAATCCTCTTCAAGTACATCAGCATTCGGGCACGTTTTGGTGGAAAAGTCCTTAAAAAGGTAAGTTTTCTGCTGTAGCAAACAACAAGGCCAGCTGCCATGAAATAGCTGTTCAGAGGTGCACACTTCTAGCACATTTATCTGATTCTTGGTGTCTGCATGAATTATTTCTTTCCTATTTTGAGATTGCCTTTTAAGGAGCTGTTAGAATTTTCCTTCCTCCTTAGCCACGTTTCCTGCAGTATCGTGTGGGTTGAAGTGTGGCACCACTTCTGGTGGCAAAAAGGGTGGTTTTCATAAAGGCCATTTTGACTCTAAGCTGCTCTGCATGGATACACCTGTCCCTGTGGGGCAATGCCCCGTGTACTGCCAGTGCTGGTGTAGTGCCAAGAGTAGTGTGGGTTAGATGTGACCTGTTCCCTGTGAGGAAGAAGTAGAAGTGTACTGTGAGGTAGGAGTAGAAAGGTAGAAATGTTTTCAAGCATGTGATCCTGTCCTAGATTTGCTGAATGGACTAAGTGAAGGTTCCTTCAGTTTTAGATTTTACTGCCAGCTTCTGCTAACGTGACAATGGATTTTTCTAAGTGCCATGTTCTCAAAATTTGAATCCCCCTTTTATTTAGATTCCTGTTGAGAACACGAAGACTCAGGCTGATGAAGGAGAGGATGATCCAACCTTCTGTGAGGTGTGTGGCAGAAGCGACCGGGAGGATCGCCTGCTGCTGTGTGATGGCTGTGATGCAGGGTAAGAGGGGCTCAGCTGAGGGCAGGACCCCCCTGGCTGCAGGCAGCACTGCAGGCCTGGCCAGTCCTGCTCACTTCAGTCCCCAGGCCCTGCCTGGGCTGTCGCCTGCCCCTTTCTGCTCTCCTGGGGTTCAGCATGTGCCAGGCCTCTAGCCATGTGTGTATAGCACAGACAGACTCGTGATGTGCTGGATCCTTCTCTGGTCATGGAGCAGCATGTGTGTGGAGAGCCCTGCACTCACCAGGGCTGCAGACCACCAAAACAGGCCTTGGAGTGGTGAAGATGTTTGTGCTAATCCATGCAACAGCTGGGTGCATGGAGGTTGAAAGCCCATGTATTTTTATGGTGCCTTAAGAGGGTGTGTGACTCGTCCCAGCTGACTGGGCATTAGTGCTGAGCAGAAGTGCTTAAGAGTCAGTTTCAAGATGTTTTGGGGCCTTTTCTTGATAGCCAGAGCTATTAAATGATTCCGTTACTCCTGCTTACTTTTGTCTCTACCTAACACATTTCTTTTCCCCTTCTTGATTAATAAAGTCAGTGTGTAATTAAGGTACTGGAACACAGCTTTGTGCCCACAGTCTTCTGCTAGGATTTAAAGCTCTGACACTTTTTCATCAGTCTTGTGGCATTACCAGTTTAATGATGTTGAAAGTTACCCATTGAACAAAGGTTGCAACTGAAACATTGCTTGTAAGGAATATGTAAAATAATGTTTCAAAAACCTACTTCTAGCAAGCTAACTAGACATCTGGTAAGTCTAGTTGTGTATGTGTTCAATAGTGACCATACATACCTTCTGGAGAAGAGATAAAGTCAGGAATGTTCCACACTGCCAAGCATGTCAGCAGAACAGAGTTTAAAACACTTAAATACTTCACCAAAATCAGTGTTTTATAGGTCTTACCCAAAGTCATATCTTCCATTTCTTTCTGAACTTTCAAAACCTTATCTGAACTTAGGGTATTGCTTCAAATCCTAGTTTCATTTCTCTGTGTTCTCTGTCTGACCTGACACTGGACTGAAAATTTCAGCAGTTATTTTTGCCAGCAGTTGTAAAGCCAGTGGAGCCATCCTGTCTTTACCCTGCTTTTAGCTAGATGTGGCTTTCCACAGTGCTTGGACTCTGTGGTATAATGCTATTACTTATTCAAGTTATGGTTTAACTAATCAAATCCTTTTCCATTGGAACCATTTTCAGGTGGGACTTGCTGGAACATGAGCAGCCAGTTTTCTGAGCTGTGTATTAACAACCTGCTGACTGGTGTGAATACAAAAGTGTGCAGGTCTGGACAATGAGCACATGGCAGACAAGGGGTTAATTGCATTAAGGGTGTGCCACATTAAGGTGTGACTTCATTCAGGTTACTGAGCAGCAAGAAGAGAGTAATGCTGATACAGAGATGGGTGTCCAGAAGATGCAGAGCAGGGCTACACCCATGACAAAAACCCCTTGATTTCATAGATCCCATTTTTCTTATTGCTTGTAAGGACTGAGACAAAATAATGAGGCAGAAGGCCCCAAAAAGCACTCATTTGTTCCTTAAAGGTACAAGAACAAGTCTGGGATTGGTTCCTCACTGCCCAAGACGTGGTAAGGACTTGGTGGCCAGTGTCCCTTGCTCTCTACCCTTCACACAGATAATCCTGGCCAGGCCACCTCGTGCTTGTGAGCGGCTGGGTCAGGGGTGCAGGTAAATGAACCTCAGAGAGCGAGCATGGGTAAAACCAGTTTACTTCAAGGTGCTTTTTGTGAAACAAATATTGCCTTACCCTCCCATAAATCTGAGTTGAGTTTTGTTTTGACAGTTTTCTGTGTGATGAGGTTCCTTCCCTGTGCAGGGAACTCTAGATGGCTCCAGTGTTCAGCTGTAGAGCTGAAAGGCTTTCCCTGCAAAGCGGGTCGTAACGTGACTTCAGAACTCCCCAGCTCTTCCTACACCTACTTCTGTTATAACTTTGGGCTGAACCTAGCAGTAATACTTGTCAGAAAGCTGCTTGGGGTAAATGATCTCATTCCTGGAGCACAAACTCTCCTTTCCCAGAGCAGGAAAACACTTTGCTACTCTGATTCTAAGGGAGTGATTTATGGCAAACATCGTTTTTCAACTTCATCTTCTTAAGTCTCTGAAGGAGTGTAAAACCTCACCTGCTAAGCTGGACTCCCTGCAGGAGGGACACATATTCCATTCTGTGTTGACAACATATTTTAGCAGAAACATAATATTGTCAGTTTGGACAGTTCAGCTGCAAATTGAGAGTTTATCACAGTGTGGTCAGGAGCAAGTTTGAAAGACAATTTGAAGTTGGAGGGTAGATGAGCAGCTGTCGTCTCTGTGTTTTGGTTTTTTTTAGTATTGCTATGAAATGGGATTAGAGTGTCAGATGTTCCTTCCCTTTCCTTGCTGTGTGGCCAGGCACTGTGGTGTGTCATCAGGCAGTGAATTTTGGCACGGGAAAGTGAAACAGAGAGTTTCACTCTTTACTTATTTCAGGTTTCCCAGTTTAGAAAAAGAACAAAGTTAGTGATAGAAACGTTGCGGATGTGAAGCTGAAACTCTCACTTGAAGGCTGTGGTCTCTGTATTTCTTGCCTGGGGAATTTGGTCTAAGCCCTTGGTTTTCATGGAAAGCACCTCATTTACTTGCTGTTTGAATTCTTTTTAGTGGTGCAACGCACGAGTTGCTTCAGAACTTCTGTGCTACCAACACACGTTACTTTGGCTGGGTTTTAATTGCTGAAACTGGAACTGGCCAAATTCCAGAGCCCAGGCTGGGCAGTGTGGCAGGGCTCTCCTGGGCAGCTTCTCTGCAAGTGCTTGGTGGGACTGGCCAGCCTAGCTGCTCAGCCTGCTGGGCAGAGACATCCCAGCAGCTGACCAGGGCTCTGCAGCCCAGCTTGGGCAGATAGGTAGGAGCCCTTACCCCCGTTGTCTTCACCGTGGCAGGCGTGTGTGGGGTGCAGTGTGTTCCTCAGGGGCTCTGCAGCTGGCCTGTGTTGAGCCCTGCAGAACAGGGTGTTCACAAGTCCCAGTAATAATGTGTTAATACTGTGTTGGTTTGCAGGAAGCTGATGTTGTTTCCTGTCTGCTCAGCACCTCAGTGCTTCTCCCCTTTCTCCTTGCCACCATCATTTTTTGGCTCTGTGCATTTCCTGCAGCTCAGGTGTGAAAGGCAAGTGATACACCACAAAGGGAGGGAGAAACACTCATTTTTCTGAGCTTTTTTGAGCCTAAAGTGTTAAAAAACATCTAGAATTGAAGACCCATGTGTAACTACCAGGTCACCTCACTTCTCTGGAGATTGGTAGTAGCAGATGCATAGACCATAGCTCCAAGCTGAACAGAATGAGCCCTCCTTGTGCAGATGAAGGTAAAAGGCTCTCGGGTAAGGAGCACGTCGTTTCATTTTTATTTTACTTTTTTCTTTTCTCTCCTCAAGGTATCACATGGAATGCCTTAATCCACCTCTGAGTGAAGTCCCTGTAGACGAGTGGTTCTGTCCAGCCTGTGCTCCCATGGATGTCAGTGCTGCTGCAGGTGAGGAGCTTCCTGCTGGCCACTCACTCCGTAAATATTTTCGTCCTGACTTAGATGATGTTAAGCACATGCTGTTGTGAAGAGATGTTTAACCCCTGGTTTCATCTCTGTTAAATAAGTATCAAGAGAGGCATTCTCTCTTGAAGTTAAAGAGTCAACTCGAGCTCTTGACTGAGGAGAGAATATTGTTTATTAAGATTTCCATCTTCACTTACACCCTGTGGATCTGCTTTTCATACACATTATTTAACCTTCCTGAGGCAAGCCCAGCACCTTAGTGCAGCTCCATCATATTACACTGGAGAGAATTTATGAGTGTCCTGAGCTCAGATTGCCAAGGCAGCAGCAATTTCTCTTACCTAGAAGATCTTTCTGCCTGAAGCAGTGGTGTCTGTGCTCCTTTCCTCTGAGAGGCCATTCGTTTAAAAAAGGGAATACTGATTTGGCTTTATTCTGTCCAAAATGCTGTACAGCTTGAAATGACCTGTACCCGAGTGACCTGGGCATCTTTTCTTCCCAGATGCAGATCAGGTCAGTGAAGAGGAGGTGGCTGCCCTGGTGGCTGATGTTGTGCCCACCACCAGCAGGCTCCGTCCCCAGGCCCGCACGCGGGCGATCGCCAGAACGCGGCAGAGCGAGCGCGTCCGGGCCACCGTCAACAGGAACAGGATCAGCACTGCCCAGCGCATCCAGGTGGGTGCTCGGCGCCCACGAGCCTCTGAGCAGCCTTCTGGAAGCCTTGGAGAGCCCCCCTGGAGTGGCTCAGCTGTCTGTGTCAGCTGTCCAGGGCGCCGTGGTTAGTCGTCGTGGAGTTGTAAGCTGAGGTGCAGAGGCTGTGCCAATGGAGTGCAGCACAGGAGCAAGACTGGTGTGAAATCTGTGGTAGCTTCCTCTCTCAAGCTGCATTTTGATCACCTCAGCTGTGAGCAGCTTTGTATTTTTATTCCCAGGGGCTGTTGATGCACAGTTTGTGTGCTGCTTCTGGGGTTTGGCATGTTTTTTGCAGAGACAGGGCATGTTTATTTGACTTTTGTGTATTTGCTTGTTTGTCTTCCTCTACCCCCTTTCCCACAGCAGTAGAACCTATTGGCCACCTGCAGCCAAACTGAAGAAAAAAATGTAGTCTTTTTAAGGTTTTTGTGTTTGTGAAAATCTGCCTCTTGTTGAAGAGGACTAGTCCAGGTGCTGGTGTCCTCAGTCATGTGGCACTGTGAGGTCAACCTCATTGACAGGTACCAGGAAGTCTTTGCAAGGAGGTACCCCAAATACCCAGGGTCCCTCAAATCCTTTACCCATGGAACCATTTACTGAAGATGGCTGCAGCTGAGATGTGCATTGGTGTGAGATCACTCACATCAGTATACAAGCTGTGAATTGCACAGGAGCATGTGGTGTGACTTAGTGTGGCAGCAGAGCCTGCAAATAATCTCCATGGGACTAGTGGTGTGTTCATTAGTTCTTCATCAGTGCTGCTGCTGAATTTGGTAGAAACCTGTGAAATGCTGCAGTGAGGATCTGATGTGTGTGCCTGGGTCGTGTGTAAGCACAGGGGATGGTCTGTAACATCAGGAGGGTCTTTGCATCTGCTACACTCATATGAAACTTTATCAATTCTTGATGCATTGTAGTTGCTTGAGAAAAGGTGAGGGAGTAGGGAAGATGTCCCTGCCCATGGCAAGGGGTTGAACTAGATGATCTTTAAAGGTCCTTTCCAACCCAAACCATTCTATGGTTCTGTGACATCTGAAGAATATGGCTGGTGTGGGCATGGCCAGTGTAGCATAGCTGTTGAATGAAACCTGCTCTTAACATCCTCCCAACAGAAGGAGGGAACAAACCTGGGCTGTATTTGCCCAGCAATGAGTCTTGGTGTTCACATTCTGAGGCTGGTGGTTCAGGATCCATATGCTTCCAGTGGTTCTGTTTAAATGTGCTTGACCCTGCAGTGTAGAGAGGAGGATGAATGTGAACTTGTGACAAGCAGGGGCTGCTCCTACCAATCAAGTGATGCTCTAGAGGGGAACTCACTCTCCCCTTTCACTGAGTTCCTGGGGGGGTTTGAAATGCTGCCTCTGGGTATGGCTCACAGCACTGGGTGAGTCTGACCTAAAGGATGGGGAGCTTAAGACATGGGATCTGCACCACCTGGCTTTTCAGTCTTTGCTCATCACACTTTGCTGCCTGACGGGTCATAGATCGGTTAGGTGGATTTGGGAAGGTTCTTAAGTGAATTTTTTCTTTGAGGAAATGTCAGTCTTGGGGATTGTTCTCATTTAAAGAGTCAGAGTGAGCCTAGCCATGACTTGTGATACTGAGGGAGGCTGGAGAGCATGATCATGTTCTCCTTCCTATGACAGTCAGTAGGTGAGAAAGGTGACTAAGTGCTTAACTGGCACCGTGGTGACTCGGGTGCTTTTCATTGGACTCCACTTTCCAGCAGATGCTTGTATAACTAACTTGTGTGCCTTTTAGAAACCTGTATTGTGTAACTTCTGATCCCCCTGCAGCACGTGCCAAGGTACCTCATGTCCTCTCTTCTGGATGAAACCATTGAGGCAGTTGTGGCAGGCCTAAACACAGCCATCTACCAGCGCCCCCTCACACCACGGGCTCCCACCAGGCAGAAGAGGAGAACAGGTAAGAGCATCAGACACCTTCTGTGGTTCCCACCTGCAGGAGGAGAAGCTGTGGGGAGATCAGCCTGAATCACACAAAATACTCTCCATCAGCTGCCACTGCTGTGTGCTGTGCAGCTACAGCAGCAGACCACATGTGTTTTCTTCTTTCCCCACACTGCCTCTGCCCAGAGGGCTGCTTTTAAATAAACCCTGATGAATTCTCTCATTCTGTTCTACTGGTTTAGTCTGTTGCAGCCCACCATAGGTCTGTGCCATGGGGGAATGAAAAGGGGAGCACAGGGTAAAATGCAGCTGTAGCACTTAGCCAGGTACTTGGTTGTCTTTTGTCCCCCCAGGTAGGAGGAAGAAAGTAGGAGGCAAAAAAAGAACTCAGACAAAATCTTCTGCTGGGAAGAAGAGTTCAGGGACACAGCTGAAGAGACGGAAGCGCCTGGGAAAGAAGAGACGGGGGAAGAAGATGAGAGTGAGATCCCATGTGAGTTTCTGCCAGTGCTGCTCTCTGCCCTTATTCAGCTATCTTAAAAGCACTCCAAAATGGGATCCAGTGGAAAAAGATCCTGCCTTACAGTGACAGCAGGTGTTTTTTCTGGTGGGAGTGTGTCAGGCTGTGTCTGGATGCTGGGCATGGACAGGAACGGCAGCTCCCAGGCCGGCCTGCTGGCTCTGCTGACAGCTCCTGCTCCTGGACTGGGGGGTTGCACCTCAGGCTCTGCTCTTGCACCTGCCCTGTTGGCTTCATGTTTACCAGTGTAAGATGGGTTCAGATTGCCACCACCTATTCTTCCTAATAGGCTGTGGATGTTTGTTTCTGTGTTGTTGCAGATGCAGTAAAAAATCCCTTTCAGTTGTGGATAGTGTCCTCGTGTGACTTGTGCTGGATATTTGTGTCCTCTGCTCCCTTAACTAGAGTTTATGTCCTAGAGCCAGAGCTGTCCCTCCAGCCGTTAATAAGGAGCTGAGAATTTTGAATGACGTTATTAAAGACCTCTAGGAATTGACCTGGTCACTTAAATCTGATGCCTGCAGTCTCTGCACGAAGTGAGAGAATAAATGCACACCACTTCTGCTACCAACAGTAGTGACCTGCTGACTGTACTTGGCCTAGAGGAAGGATCTGGGGCTTCAAGCCCAGGGTGTGTACCTGCCCTAACATCCAGACAACTCTCTTGTGGTGTGCAGGTGAGAGCTGAGGTCTCTGCTCGCTCCCGCATCGCGAGGACCCTGGGCCTGGGGAAGCCCGTGCGAGGGGCCTCCATCCCTTCCCTGTACAGACCAGCAGAGCCCTCCCTCAGCCTGCTGAGAGCAGATGTTGGTGTGGCCTCCCTCTCTGTCTTCGGAGATCCCTACGAGCTGGACCCTTACGAAAGGTGAGACATCTCTGGGTGTGCCATCTGCAGAGGGTGGATCTCCCATCTAAAGGCAGCTCTGGATACACAGCTCGTAACCCATTGGCCTCTTCTTTCTCTCCTTCTTGGCCAAGTTGCTGAGATCTTAAAGAATTGTCCTTAAAAGAAGTTTGCTGAAATAATCAGCCTTGTGGAAACCTTAAATAACCTCTGTGGGGTTATTCAAAGGCTGGAATCTGGAGGAGTCCAATCCCAATGGGCCATTTTCTGTTTATTGATTTTAAGTGCAGACAGTGTGTTGAGTATACAACAAGCAATCACTTCACACAGAATTAAATGGTCTTGTGGAATATTCCATGTTTCTCCTGTTCCCATCTTCACTTTTCCAGACACCTTAAATTCAGCAGG